TTGAGCTATCAACAATTCTTTTTGAGAGAGCTTAGAACTATTCGGGGTGGAAGAGCAACTGTTTTATTAGATACAACTTCTCCTCGTCATCCTTATGTTACAACAACGAAAGCGAAGCGGCTCAACGAGGATTTCCAGCTCTTCCTCTGGAAGATTTTAAAAAATTACTATTTTCGTTTTCTTTTACTTGACTTCACTTCAAGATGCAGCTGAACAGTTGCATTGTCCAGAAATTAGTGGAGAAAGCCTGAGATTAGAAATGATTTTCCAATTTCTCTTGGTGCAAGTAACGGAAATGATAATTTTGGGAGAAAGACTATCAAATGTTCAAATTGTTAAATTCGGAAAAGTTGCTGAAAATATTTTACTAAAAATGTAAAAATATTGTAACTTTTTCTAGGACTCTCCTTGTTATTGTCTCTTTACTTTCTATTTTGTTTTTCTTCAGACCTAAATCTCCAGATAAGGAATGCTGTTTATATTTAACCCAAGAAATTTCTTCAACCTAGCTCGTAAAACAGGGTTCAATAACCTAATTGCGTGTAAGTCCTTAATCTTACTTTTTTATCCCAAATTACACTATCAAACTATCTATTTATTTGTTTCTAGATGTAAATCAGCTAACAATTGCAAAGATGGATTTTTTTTCACTTGTGGAAATTATTGAAAAAATTCATGAACTCAGCTTCAAGTACTTGGTTTCATATCCCTCTGATAAAGTATCTCGACTAACAAAAAAAGCTTTTGCAATTAATAACTCAGCTCCAAACAATGGCAGAGGAGAACACTGGATCATGATAGCTCGATTGGGGAAAACTTACTACTTTGCTGATTCTTTGCGTCATTGTCCTTTCTCACAAAAAGTATGGGCGAATGTTTCCCAGAAAACTACAAAGAATTGATAATTTGTGTGGATTTTACGCAATTTATTCAGCGTTTCTTCTTTTTAATTTCTACCAGAGAAAATTGAATAAAACTCATGACGTGCATTTTTTGAATTAACATGTATTTTGATGTAAATGTTTAGTTTTTTTGTAAGTGTAAATTTTGGCAGTAAATTTACTATACGATGTAGTGAATTATATACTTTCATTGTATGTTAATTATTCTTTAGAATGTGACTTTTTTTGAATTTTTAGTAGGTTTCAACATAGTTTTAGGTAGATGTTCCGAAATATCAGATTATCTCATAAATTGTTAATGGGTCGACTTATAACAAATCTTATAGTGTTTCGAATTTTTTTTGAGAAATTTTCAGTTTTTGTGACAAAACTTCCAAGTTGTTGCCCTCACTTCTGCAAAATAATTTTTCGATTCTGCAAAACATTGAAAAAAAATAATGAACTCAGCTTCAAGTACATGGTTTCATACCCCTCTGATAAAACACCTCAACTAACAAAATACTCTTTTGCAATCATCAACTCAGCTCCAAGCAATGATAGAGGGGAACACTGAATCATGATAGCTCGATTGGATAAACTTTAAAACTTTGCTGATTCTTTGGACCGAAAAAGAACAGTTTTTTCCTTTCTAACAAAACGTTTTGGCGAAGAGTTCCAGAAAACTACAAAAAAATGACAGTTTGCGTGGATTTTACGCAATTTATCCATCACTTCTTTTAATTTCTACCAGAGACAATCGAATATTATTCATGATGTGCATTTTTTGAAATTTATATGAATTTTTATGTAAACGTGTAGTTTTTTTTTGTAAATGTAAGTTTTGGCATTAAAATTACTTTACGGTGCAGTGATTAAATACTTTTTTTGTATTTTAATTTGTTTTTAAAATATAACTTTTTTCGAATTTTAAGATGTTCCGAAAATTAAGATTATTTTATAAATCGTTAGTAGGTCGAATTATGACAAATCTTATCGTGTTTCAATTTTTTAAAAATTTTTTTCATTTTTTCTGACAAAACCTCGAAGTTTTCGCGCAAAAACTCTTACCACTAACTTACCATGAACTAAAAATTATGTGCATGACCTTCATTACACAACCTACACGTAATTAACCTTTAATATTTACAAATTAGGTAACACGTGGCAAAATATTTGCAAAAAAATTAGACATATCCACACAAACTTCAAAAAAATTCATTTTTCTTACCATTATCTTACCTTGACACAAACCATGAAACTTTATCATTGGTATTTCCTATCCTAATACGTTTGTCTCTATACCCAAAGTTAGTACATAGCTGGGTGACCGGATGATCTATTCCCTATCTTAAAGCATGCGAATCACCCTCCTCCCCCCCCCCCCCCACTTTAGCTCCAACATCTACCACTGGCGATTGCAATTATGGGTTTTAACCTTGTTTAGACATTTTCCATTCTGGCTGCCGAAAATCATAGCAAGAATAAAATTTTCCGTTTAGGGCAAGCTTATTAGCCGAAAAACGCAACTAGACTCAAAAACGTTAGTTGGAAAAGTCAACCGAAAAAAAAAGAGAACTAAGAAATGGGTAAACCTCCTCTAAGATCTAGGCTTCAGCTGCAGGTTTTTTTGAAAAAAAACCAAATAGAAGTAAAAAGACATTGAAATTAGAAACTGCTGAGATTCGCAACAAGTCTCAAATCCAAGCCTTTTCACCTTTTTTGTGACTATTGAAGTCCTATTAAAGACTATTTGTGACCCGTTTTGAAGACCATTGAAATAATAAGAATTTTAAAATTAAGTACCGTGTTTTTATTAGGTTCCTTCTTTTGAATCACTTAGAGCAAAAAACAGCGTAAGATACAACAACAAAAAAAGAACTCTTTCGCTTCTAAGCGAATTGTAGAAGTTAAATTTGTCTACGGATGAGAAAACTTGGAGAAAACGAAAACGACAAGTCTCTGAGGACAAATAGTTTATTCTGCAAAGCCAAGGCTTTTGTTTATTCAACCGATGTAAAAGTTACTAGATACATCAAGGTTATTAACCCATAAATTCAGTTTTGAGGGAGGGCTCCCATATCCACAAACTGTGTTCATTAGAGTTCAAATGCTTCATTTCTGCGTGTGCGCTAAGAACTTGTCCCCTTTTAGCAATGGGTTGTTTTTGATTGCCTCTTGGTTTATGTTTGATTCAATAAAATAGAGACACTCGTTTATATTCGTTTTCTTTGCATTCAATATGTTCTTTGCATTCTTCTTTGCATTCAACTTGTAAATTGCTAATTTGTTCAGCAACTTGACAAATGTCACAATAACCGTAGGGGTCAATCCATATGGTAGATTTGCAGTAACCGGCATAATGTGGTACGCCCTCAATGAGCTGTTGGTAACTTAAGTATATCCCAACTCTCGGATAACGAGTAGCAAATCACCAAAAAAAATTTTCTTCGCAAAAATCACCTGAATTGTTAATCCGATTGAATGGAGGGCTTTTGATTAGGATGGAATCCTTATTGGTATCTTCCTGTACCCTCAACAGCTCGCTCAAATTATAACAAATAGTTTGCAAGTTGCTCACCTGAAAGTTCACTCTCACCAGTTACCAAGTTGTTTGCCATCAGTAGCAACGCCTCTCTCACATTTTTATCCGTAACCTGATTGATGATACCTTTCACCTGCTAAAGAATATACATGATGCAAAAACAATCTTTTAAATGCAAATTTCATTAAGTAATCATAATTGAATCTAATGAAAATGTCATTTTGTTAACTCAAACAACGTAACTCAAGTTTAGAATTTTAGCCGTTTAAAATTTTTAGAACGAAAATTAGCTTTTGAAGATCAAGATAAAAATCAACTGTTTCTCTGCTTTTTTTTCATTCACTCTCAAAATTGATCAAAATTACCTTATTCGTACATAATCATTTTCGGCTCTGACTTGTTTTGCTACCAGAAATTGAATTAAATTAATTTTTTTTAAATGCTCTTTTTTCACACAATAAATTCGCCGCATACGATTCTTTTTCAGACAATCGTACACCAGATGAAGATAACCTTTCTTAGTGAAAAGAAACCATAAAAATCTTCAAAGATGTAACACGTTGAGCAAAATCGGCTAGTCATCACTTTTTGGGCTCACCCGGGTTGACGTCCATAGAAGAAAAATGCCTATCATACATTTTCTTATATGGAGTCTATGGAAAAACTGCTTATCATAGAAAATTAATACAAAATTTAGAAAGTGTTTTAAAAATTTTTAATGAAAATTTTTGGTCTACTTGCCTCTTTTGAAGCTTTCTGGTCAAGAAAAAAATGATTTGTAATTTTTTTATAAAAAATGCTTATCATACAATTTTCATATATGAAAATTGTAAGATATGCATTTTTTTCACAAAAATAAAAAATTTGATGTAAAAAACATTTAATCCTTTTTTGGCTGCAAACTTGCTTTTCTGATAAAAAATAATTTTACAAAAAAAATTTTGCATGCAAAATTTGATACTTTTGTGTTTATAACATAGTCCAACATAGTCCAGGATGAGTTTCTCACCCAAAAAATCCAAAAATCACAAGAAAGTGTTTTTTTTGTAAACACGATTTTTATCTTTTGTTTCATTTGTTAAAATAAAAATAAGTTTGTAAAAAAAACAGGCCTTTTTCTCAACCATCATAATTTTCAAACTAAAAATTATCTAGAAATGTTCAAAAAGTTACTTTTTTGGTATATATTTTCATGCAGTTTATCTTCGTGGTAACTGCCAGTTACATTCTGGGTTTTCTCATGACAAAAAATCCTTGGTTAGTGTTTCGGTTGAAACACGAAATTTCGAAACAAAAGTTTTTTGTATTTTCATTCATGGAAAAAATGATTATCATACAATTTCATAGTATGGAAAAATTGCTTATCATACAATTTCATATATGGAAAAATGCTTATTTTGCTATTTTCATCCATATACTTTTTCTCTATGAAATTGTATGAAAGAGTATGACAAGCCTTTTTTCATATATGAAAGTTGTATGATAAGCATTTTTTGTCAACCCGGGCAGTTGATTCAAAAATGAATGAGTGGTAGTTTGAGTTTTTACAAATTGTGAAAGATGTGATGAACTTTGAGGTTGCCATTCCTATCACGGAGGGCGTGGATCCCCTGTCGATGCTGACAGACAATGCGCAGATAGCTGAATGGCAGAACGAGGGTCTGCCGAGTGACCGGATGTCTACGGAGAATGCGACTATTCTGACGAACTGCGAGAGGTGGCCCCTCATGATCGACCCTCAGTTGCAAGGAATCAAGTGGATCAAGCGAAGATACGGAGACAACATCCAGATTATTAGACTGGATCAAAAAGGTCAGTGAAGTACGAGCTCATGTCAGTTTGTAAACAAACTTGGCTAAAGTTTCATTTGATGTCGCCGGCAGACAGAGCAAAGCAGAAGAACAGGTATTTTGTCTTGGTTTGAAGGAATCAATCCATATTTAATCAATGCATCTCGCCTGTTTATGTTGTTAGGTTACATGGATAGACTAGAGCAGAGTCTGGGCCTGGGGGAGACCGTGCTGATTGAGAACCTTGAGGAGGACATAGATCCAGTGCTTGAACCCGTTCTGGGCAGGAACACGATCAAGAAGGGCAAGGCGATCAAACTCGGCGACAAGGAGATCGACTACGACTCCAACTTCAAACTCATTCTCCACACCAAACTGGCAAATCCACACTATAAGCCAGAGATGCAGGCCCAGACCACCCTTATCAACTTCACTGTCACCAAGGCCGGACTTGAGGACCAGCTGTTAGCAGCCGTGGTCAGCAAAGAGCGTCCAGACCTCGAGCAGACTAGGGTTCGTTGCTGGTTCAATTGAACTAACATCAACAGGAGGCCCGGCGGCTATCACTCTTTTGTTTTGTAACAGCTCAAGATTTTCATGAATGCAATCTCGGAAAATCAACAAAAAGTGTAATACAAATAGCTCATAATGATCAAAATTGATGCCTATACTCAACCGGGCCGTGTAAATTCACGCATGATCTTTTACAGTCGTCAGCAACATGACTTTGTAGCTTCCCGTTTTTCCATTTTTTTCATATATGGAAGTTTTTCATGCTTTTCATGAAAATTTTTACAACTCTATATAAACACGAAATCAGGGGCGGATCTAGGATTTTCTCGAGGGGGGGGGGCGGATTTTCAAAAAATTTTCCAAAATTTTGACGACCTTTTTTTTAGGTCGACCAAATTGATTTTGCGAGCTCTCCCAAAGCACTGTTTTGCCCCTATTTTGGCAAAATTTTCTGCGCCGCAGGCAAATTTAAAAAAAAACATTCAAAAAGCCGTTTTTGGGCACTTTTTGAAAAATGTAGACAAAAAAATCGCGTTTTTTTTGGCGCGCGCTCCCCATCAAAGTTAGTATATATTGGCGCCAAAGGCGCCTTTAGAAAAACTTTAGGGTCGGTCGGCCAAAAATTGATTTCTGAAAAAGTATCAAAGGGGGGACCCTCTGGGTCGGCAGGGGTTCGAATCCCTGAGGGAAAGCGTCCGCCCCCCCATCCACCTCCCTAAATCCGCCCCTGCACGAAATTGTTATAAAACTGTAAGCTAATAATTTTTTCATTTGGATAAAAATTTCGGTTAATGTTTTTATTTTTCTCCGAAAACACAATATTCGAGTTTTTTTTCTCACATAATGAAACCCAGAGGAAGTTGAAAGGAAGAAATCTCACAGATACCCGGCGTTGGATTTTTTGAATTCATTTGATAAACACTTTTCGCGTACGGAGTCCAACCCGGGTTGTTCAGGCATTGTAATTTTTTGATTTTTTTTTTTTGCGGAATGAAACAATTATATATTGATCAAGTTTCCTCAAATTGGTTTGAATTTATCAACAACTTTTCATTGATACCAAATTTGTCAACTTCAAAGAGGATTGAAGCCATATCTTTCGCTCTGATTTTCGAAAAAAAGTGTTGGAGCTTTTGTGCTTGGGTGGTTTTTATTTCTCCAGACAAATTAACAACTACTTTTTATTTTTGAAAGCCCGAAAAATATTGATGCCTTAACACCAATTTTTGTGGGTGTTTAAAATGACAATGAATTGCGCTTTTACCCAGTTTTCTGTTTTCAAGCAGCGTTTGCAGTAAAATCAATCGAACTAGATATCGGGCGAGCAAACAGAGCCGTCACTGAAGTTTTATGGATTTTAATAGATTATATTGGATTTTCATTGTCAATCCTTATAAAATAACAAAATTAATTAATTAGAATCCATTACAAATGGATTGTAATGATTCTATTTTTAAAGCAATCGCGGGGCGTACGAGTGGGGGAGGGTTTTCTATAAATTCGAAAGTTAAGTTGATTTTTTTTTCAGGTCGTCCAAGTTGGTTTTCCGACCGAGCGCTCTCAGAACACTAAAAATTACGTATTTTGACCAATTTTTTTCAGCGCGGCAGGCAAAAAAAAAGAAAAAAAAACTGTTCAAAAGTGCCGCTTTCGAGCTTTTTTGAAAATTACTACATATTGGTCTCTTCAAGGTTACTACATTTTGACCGTTCCTAGATGAACGTGTTTGTTCGAATTTGCAGAAAGTCACAAAAAGTAGTCATTTTTTACAAAACTTAATCACTTTTCATGGATTTTATGTACAAAAAATAATACATTGTCTTATAAACAAAAATGGATTATAGTAAATGAAAATAGTTGATTAAAATGAATTAAAAACAATTATGTTGTCTAAATTTGCTATGATAATCGATTAATAATACAACATTTTAGTCAACAAGAGTCCATTATAATCGAATTTTGTGTTTCAAACTTCGGTGCTGGAGGCAAGCAAACTGGTCCAAAGTAACGCTTTAATAAACGAGAAACAAATCACTTTGTTGCAAATGACATAAATTTGGGGCAGATATGGCGGAACTTTCAACGTTAAGAATGTTCAAGACATCGTTCTGTCTGATTCGAACAGTCTTTTCCTCTGGCTATCGAAGACAATGACGGAATACATATTGTTTTTTTTTGGCAACTTAAGGTTTTGCAATCATTTATTTTAGGCTGAATTTTGCCTTTCTGTGACACTTTACCTCGGCTGTTTTCTGCAAGTTTATAAGTGTTTGGAAATTGCCCAGTTGGAGTCATTTATGCGCGCTATTTGCCATTTTTTAAAATTCAAACGCGGTGATATGAGGAGGGAAGGCAATTGATCCAAATTATTTGTAGCTAAATGCGGAGCAGTTCTCTGTAATGTCGTGAGGAGAAAAATATACCAACAAAATCAGGGCTTTGCTTTGGTACAAACAGTCTTTGACTCCGATTTCGAAGAATTTGTTCTCAGTGCGGTTTTTTCATCTGAAAAAAATTCGACTTCTGAACTGTCCATTTTTACTGTGTGTTTCAAAAGTGTTGTCACATGAAAACTAGTGATGACCTGAGCTCAAAACAAAAAAGAACATATATCATCTCTGTGTTCTTCTTTTGTGGAAGTTACTGGAGTTTGAAACCTAACAAATAGGCCCATTTCGGATAATTAACGCGCGGTATATTTCGTCCCATTAGAGCGTTAACAGCGAAAGAAATATTTCGAAATTGAAATTAGGCAAGCGGTTTGGTCTTTTTAATACTTTAACAGACGGAAATATTATCATTTGTACTGCATAAAACGTATGTAAGAAGATATTCGTTTTAAACAATTTTTACATCAACTTTCTCATCAAACTACTGAAAATTACTACAACACCTACATCAACCATAAATGAAGGATTGTCGGAGCCTTCAGATTTGCAGAGTGGGAACATAGTGAGTATGAGTAGAAGTGGTTTGATTTAATCTGCTTATGTTCTGTCGGTTTTCAGTCCGATCTGACAAAACAGAACAACGAATACACGATCACTCTGAAGCAGCTGGAAGACAATTTATTAGCACGACTGTCTGCCGCGGGAGGTAACTTTTTGGGAGATACTGCTCTGGTGGAGAACCTGGAACACACCAAGAAGACAGCGGCAGAGATAGAGGAAAAAGTGGCAGAGGCCAAGGTCACAGAGGTAGGGCACAACTCAAATTAATGCACCACCTGTCCCTCCTTCCACAGATGCTTGACAAAATTGTCTTCGAGAAATTAAGTTTGTTTATCTGGAAACCCTGTTTTCAGTAATTCGGAAACCCACTAAATAATTGATGCGTAACCGTATCGTAATCGGGCATTAGACTTTTCCCCTAAATAACTTTTGCTAACATAATTTGCTCGTTTGATGTTTTTTGCTTTATAAACAATTTAGATCCTTCGACGCTATTTTTGCACATAAATAACTTTTAGGTAAAGAAAAAGCCCGAAACGTGTGAGAGCAAACTAAAGTTCTCACAGTTATTTTGTTAAGCTAGAGAATCATTTATTCTCAAAAATCTTAGCTACACAAGATTGTGTCAACAAATACGTAGTGAAGAGTTACACGAGATTGTGTCAACAAATACGTAGTGAAGAGTTACACGAGATTGTGTCAACAAATACGTAGTGAAGAGTTACACGAGATTGTGTCAACAAATACGTAGTGAAGAGTTACACGAGATTGTGTCAACAAATACGTAGTGAAGAGTTACACGAGATTGTGTCAACAAATACGTAGTGAAGAGTTACACGAGATTGTGTCAACAAATACGTAGTGAAGAGTTACACAAGATTGTGTCAACAAATACGTAGTGAAGAGTTACACGAGATTGTGTCAACAAATACGTAGTGAAGAGTTACACGAGATTGTGTCAACAAATACGTAGTGAAGAGTTACACGAGATTGTGTCAACAAATACGTAGTGAAGAGTTACACGAGATTGTGTCAACAAATACGTAGTGAAGAGTTACACGAGATTGTGTCAACAAATACGTAGTGAAGAGTTACACGAGATTGTGTCAACAAATACGTAGTGAAGAGTTACACGAGATTGTGTCAACAAATACGTAGTGAAGAGTTACACGAGATTGTGTCAACAAATACGTAGTGAAGAGTTACACGAGATTGTGTCAACAAATACGTAGTGAAGAGTTACACGAGATTGTGTCAACAAATACGTAGTGAAGAGTTACACGAGATTGTGTCAACAAATACGTAGTGAAGAGTTACACGAGATTGTGTCAACAAATACGTAGTGAAGAGTTACACAAGATTGTGTCAACAAATACGTAGTGAAGAGTTACACGAGATTGTGTCAACAAATACGTAGTGAAGAGTTACACGAGATTGTGTCAACAAATACGTAGTGAAGAGTTACACGAGATTGTGTCAACAAATACGTAGTGAAGAGTTACACGAGATTGTGTCAACAAATACGTAGTGAAGAGTTACACGAGATTGTGTCAACAAATACGTAGTGAAGAGTTACACGAGATTGTGTCAACAAATACGTAGTGAAGAGTTACACGAGATTGTGTCAACAAATACGTAGTGAAGAGTTACACGAGATTGTGTCAACAAATACGTAGTGAAGAGTTACACGAGATTGTGGAAAGCATGGCGTGAAATGTAGTCGAGTCAAGTTGCAAATTGAAGTGTTTACATATTGAATCACGCATACTGAGCTTAAATTTTATCTGAATTTTTTTTAAACTCAGTATTCACTCAGTACCTGGCATAAATGAATGAATACTTAGTACTTAGGCTCTAGTGGTTAGTAAAAAAAGTGGCTTAGAAGAACTTTTCTGCATAATTCAATCAATTTACTGCTACGCAATATTTTTTCTTCATTTCGAGACTTAACGGAAAAATAGTAAGCCTTATTCATTTGAAAGAGTCAAAAAAGTTTCATTTTTTTCTGCTGTTTTTTCAATTTTCTATTAGTACTGAAAAAGAATTGGTGAAACGCACAAGTAAAAAGTGGTTAGTGAAAGTTTGATTAAAACAGAAACCACTTTTTACCGGGTGTCGGGTTTGAAAAAAATATGTTGGAAAGTTAGTAATTGAGGGTGATTGCATGAAAAGCTTCGCTAGATTGCTGATGGCAGTTTTTTTTTAAAAAGTGGCCAATGAAGTATATTTGGTGGGTTGGGTCATAATTACGAACCATTCCGTAAATATGTTAGTTGTTTTATTACAACAAGTAAAATTAAAGAAGCAGAGTGAAATGTATTTTGCATTAATAAAAATATAGCGGTAATGAGATTCCAGGAGGGGAAACATTTGTAAAAAAAAATCCCTGAATAAAGCGATAGTAAGTGCTAGTATGTGTGAGTTTTGTTTTCAGCAGTACTTCATGCGATCAATTGATGTCGCGTTGTTTGCTGACGAGAAAGTTAAATTTAGTAAATCACTTTTCATATGCTTTGATGTTTTGTAGTGCGTGATCAATTTTGCGGGCAGACTTTTTGTAATTACTTGATAAATCAAGTTTTTATTCTGTTTTTATGAAGACTTTCTTTGTGATTTGTGAGTTAACTGCTAGATCCGTGTCGTAAGGTGACTGTGATAGAAAATTGTTTAGATTTTTGAGCTATAAAACGGTTTAGTATACTCGAGAATCCAATTGTAGTAAAGTCGTTAAGCTATAGTGCGTTAGCTAGTTGATATAGTATGGCTGTGTAGAGTTCATCTTCTTCGGCTTTGCGAATAAGGATTTTTAAAGGGTCAGTCAAGTAATAAATTGGAACTAAAAGAGGGTAGAGAGGAGGGAATTTTCATCAAGGTAGGAGTCGCGTTGGTTTTGAGGTTCGCTAAATTTAGAAGTTTATTTTGGGAAAAGTGGAAGTTTTCAAGCAAAAAATCGAAAATGTTTTTTTTTTGTTCAAGTTGAAGACTAAGGAAGAATCGTGACAATGAGTGTCGATGAATGAGATATCGATTGCGAGACTAAGCGTGTTAGTTGATGAATTGTGAGTTGGCGGTCAGTATTATCAATGATTTAGTAAGTTCTCTAGATTTGATTTTGCTGTTGCTGTAGTTATTTCTGTTGGAGTAGTAATGTGGAGTTTTGTGTTCGATTTGTTTTTGCTGACTTTTTCTTATCGTATTCATTAGGTTATGCGTCTAGTAAAATATTTTTAGTGAGGTAGAGAAATTTCCGAAACTTTTTTAAATAATACTCTTGCTACGCTGGCTTCTCCGTTAATCTCGGTATGTTTGAATCGCCCATGTAATGTATTTGCCGCCATGAGCAGTTAAAAATCTTATAATGTCAGAAATTGATAGTCATTTTTTTTCAGAATGTAATAGGGCCATCCTTAAAGACCTTCCTTTCAGTTCTTTTTTAAGGCAAAGAAAAGTAAAGTTTGGTGACTGGAATGATATCTTGTGGGCATTTTTTTCTGCGTTGAAAGAATTGAAGACTTTAAAGTTTTTGAAACTGCCGGTTTAATCGTAGTTTGAGATGTCTCAGAAACCAGCTGTTTCAGCAAGTTTTCTAGGGTTTTGATCAACTGATTGCCTTTGTGGAGTGTCCAATCTGGTGAAAAGATCTGGGAAATGTTTTTCTTGTATTTGATATTGCAAGTCAGATTTAAAGATGGAACTAAATACCGACAGGAAAGAAGAAGTGAGATCGGAAACTGAAATGACATAGTGTTTTTGCTGGAGAACATTCTCTGAAGATTTTACATGTGTCGAGCTACAGCGCGTATGCTTTCTCTCGAAAACTTCTTTAGAGTTGGCATTATTGTGGGGTATGTGTGAAGAGATGAAACTTATCTCTATCTGGATTGAGCTGTACTACTTTGTGGCTCTCTGTTGACCAACATGGGACAGTGGTAACCTAAATATAAGTTTGACCAGATAATGTATCGACAAATTTAGTTTCTTTTTTAAATGAAAAATTGACAGCGATTGTCAATTGCAAAGTTATACGGTGGTGGAAGTTTTCTAGTAGCATAATAATACCAAAGTATGTTTCCTCCATTATCAATGAAATTTGAACGGTTTCTAGAGAGGAGATTTTTCAAAAACTCGAGTGCTAGTGATTGTAGTATCTTTGAATTTTTCTCTATTTGAACATTGTACATTATGACATAAATCTTGTCACGAAACTTCATTACATCACAGAAAGAATCATTCAAGAAACGTCGCTATCAGAAATCGAACACTTCAACCCCATCAGCATTGTTTAGAGAAATAGTGAGTCTTCAGGAAACCAAACACGGGCTGCCTGGGTGCGAGTGATGGGGTCGTAGTGTTTCCGGTTCTGATAGCGACATTTTTTTTGAAAGATTGTACATGTAATGCAACGAAGTTTCGTGACAATGTTTATGTCATAATGGACTGCTCCAAGTTACGTATGATTGTTTAGTGGTGATATTTCTAGTAAGCAAGTCCTTTCACTTTTTTCTGAGAGAAACTTTCCACCATTTTGTTCGTTGTTTCTTTGTAGTTAACAAAAATTTTTCGTTTGCCCTCTTCTGATTTTTAGCCTTTGAATTTTGCGGAATTATGAGTTTTCCTGTTTTCATATTGAACCTTTTTTCGATTTCAAGAAGGTTTTCGGAAAATTGGTTTTAAATAGTGATTTCCAGTTCTTACATGCAAGTTCAGTTTCTGGGTAGAGTTTAAACATGTTAAAATTTTAAGTAATAATAAAAGTAAGCATGTACTTTCACTTTTTTCTGCGAGAAATTTTCCACCATTTTGTTCGTTGTTTCTTTGTAGTTAACAAAAATTTTTCGTTTGCCCTCTTCTGATTTTTAGCCTTTGAATTTTGTGGAGTTATGGTTTTTCCTGTTTTCATATCGAATCTTTTTTCGAATTCAAGAAGGGTTTCGGAAAATTGGTTTTAAATAGTGATTTCCAGTTTTTACATGCAAGTTCAGTTTCTGGGTAGAGTTTAAACGTGTTAAAATTTTAAGTAATAATAAAAGTAAACATGTACTTTCACTTTTTCTGGGAGAAATTTTCCACCATTTTGTTTGTTGTTTTTTTGTAGTTAACAAAATTTTTTCGTTTTCCCTCTTTTGTTTTTTAGCCTATGAATTTTGCGGAATTATGAATTTTCCTGTTTTCATATCGAACTTTTTTTCGATTTCAAGAAGGTTTTCGGAAATTTGGTTTTAATTAGTGATTTCCAATTCTTACAT